TACTTTTCACCGTCGACAAGTTGCGCTCCGACATGCTCCAGTATATGGAGCTCCTCCGAACATACCTCTCTGTGGACGACTTTGACGCTGTTTTCCCTTCTCTGGTGGAGATGATAGCAGACTACCACATCGCGCCAGATGTCGCTTTCACCATCGCTCGTACGAGCATAGCAGCCAAGGCTAATGCCTTCCGGGTTGAGCAACGCTCGAAGTTAGTCCTCGATGCGCAGACGAATGGCGATATTGCCATGAGTGGTGTGGAAGAGGCACCAGCCGTCAACGGAGAGCAAGAGGCATCGAAAGCAACCGAAGACGTGGAAATGAAAGACTCCGCCGCGCCTGCAGAATCTACTGGTGCTACTTCGGATAAGCTATCTTTGGCCGATGTACCAAACGCGGAGATTGAAGGTCTTGCGAGCCAGCTCAAGCAACAGCTACCCGACGCCTTCGGCGACTACCCTTGCCTGTCCTACTACGTCACCTTCTGGCAGTTGTCTCTGCCAGACGTTGTCGCTGATGCGGAGAGCATCAAGCAGCTATACAAGGAGTCGATCGAAAACTTGGAGCGACAGCTGCCCGCCCCTGTTCCCGAGCGCCGCGGCTACCGACCCAACGTACCCAAAGCTGATTCCGAAGCAACGAAGAGTATCAAGGAGAACATTGCCAGGCTTAAGGAAGAACAACAAACTGTCACTAAGAACCACGCTGCGACGCAGGATAGTCTCCGCGTTGAGTTGCGCCAATGGTTCGAGGGTATTCCAATGATGGGTCCGCAGTGTGACCTCCTGCACAACGCTCTGCTCCAGGATTGCTTCATTCCTCGCAGCCGCATATCTCAAGAAGACGCACAGTATGCGTTCTCCATGCTCATTTTCATGCACAGCTCAGGTGTGCCAGGATTTCGCATGAGCAGATTACTGGATATGCTCTTCAACGCCAATAGACTTACGTCCATCATCAGCATGTACACCGAAGCAGAGTCCTCGTCCTTCGGCCGTTTCCTCGGTGGCATCCTGCGTGAGCTGCAAATTTGGCAGGAGAACAAAGACGATGCTTTTGTCAAGCGCGCCCAAGGTTCAGAGAAGAACCTTCCTGGCTTCGGCAGAGGCTACGACGGAGAACGGAACCCGACAAGTTTCTTCACGTACGATCAGTTTTGCATGGTCTTGTTTAAGTGGCATAAGGCTCTCGCGGCTGCGCTCAAGACATGTCTGGAGAGCGGGGACTATATGCAGATGCGTAACGCCATCAACGTCCTTCACGCACTGGGTACCAATTTCCCCAGAGTGAAGAGTTTGGGCACCGAGCTGAAGGAGACGGTTGCTCACTTGAAGGAGGCAGAGGAGAGGCAGGATCTTAAGAGAGCTTTGGAATCTGTTCTTGGTCCCATCCTCAAAGGGGAGAAGCTCTGGCAGGAGGACCATGTCTTCCGCAACGTGAGTTCATCTCCATCGACACGTCCACGACAGCGAACTAATACGCCTCAGGTACCGGCGCCCCCTGGACTTCCGACAAATGGAAGTGAGAAGTCGACTGCGGAGAAGGGTAAGACTCCACAGCCACAGGACACGAAGCTCGACGCATCTGCGCCTGCCTTTAAGCCAAAGCCCGAAACGTAAGTTGACAAATTGCGCCCACATTATCAACGGTGAAACTGATCGACATCTTCCAGAAACGGTACCCCACTACGTGAGTCCAACGACAGGTCGAAGCATGATAGCACAACCCCTGCGCCTTCGAGAGATAGAGAACCATTCAGGCCAACGCCGAAAGCCTCCGACAGTAGGCCTTCCACGCCATCACAACCGGAGACAGGTTCTGGCAGGCCTCCAATCAAGGGCCCTCCAATGCATCCATCGTCTGTTCCCCTGCGACCAGATAACAGAAACACGCCTGGTCACAACACCCCAGTCGGTAGAACGCACGCACTGCCAACACGACCAGACTCGCAACCGAGGACACGACCATCGGAACGCCCAATGGTCGACCGTACGCCAGAGGCCGCGCATGGTCGATATGACAGTCGGGGTCCCCCAGCCGAATATGGTCGACTAGATCGTACGGCAGATGCTGCACGCCAGCGTGAGGCGTCGCCAGGTCGGCGCGGTGGGCGACCGCTACCTGGTGGCAGAACACCCGAGAGGATGCCTCCAGCGGCCGAGCATCGCGAATGGTCTGGCAGAGAACGCGATTACGATTACGATGAGCGGGCTATGCGAGCACCTCCGCGAGATGGGCGAGCTCCTGCGGTACGACCGCCCACATGGGATCCAAGAGACCCTTACGATGCGCGGGATTCACGTGAGCGTTCTGATCCCCGAGGTTATCCTGCGCCTGCATCGACGGAGCCTCGCAGGATGCCGTCTACTTCGTCATTGGCCAACGAATACCGCCGAGATGGTCCCCCAGTCAACGCCCCGTATGCTGCGGAACAGAACGACAGATCTTCGCGACTCCCACCGGTGCCAGTCGCAGCCAAAGAAGAACCGACAGTCAACCCAGCGCGTGCTGCCTTGATCAATCAAGCAGAGCATGGCAGACATGGACCACCGAGGCCTGACCGCGACAACCGTGGCGAGCGAGATTCTCGTTTGAACTCGCCACGTCATAGCGATGATAGACGTGTTGATGATCGTCGACTTGAAGAGCGCCCGCCTCCTGGATATCATGGCCGGAATGATGCGCCACGGGATCCTCGGGATGAGCGTCCTCAGATGCCACCCTCTAGTGGGCGAAACCACCGTGAGGATCCAGGAGCCAGTGCTCCAACCGGTCCGCGTGGTGGTCGCAACGAAGCCGCTGCAACATCCCGGGCCTCGCGGGAGATGTTCCAGCCTACACCTGGACCACGGGCACAAGACCCCAACTATGGCCGGCTGAACCAGCCTGCAGAGCCGGCGCCGCCATCTGGCCCACGCAGCGATCGAACATCGCAGCCTTCAACACCGAGTGCACCCACCGGCCCCGCAGCATCACTACCAGCAGGCATCCATCCTAGTAGGCTGGCACACATCGAGGGTAGAGCACCAAGCGGGCCACCACTTCAGACCAACATGCCGAATGCTCCAAGCGGTCCGCGTAACGGAGGTCGCGCTCCTCAAGGTCCTATCCCATCATCACCAGTTGGTCCGCGACCTCCCACAGGCCCTGGAGGACCTAGGAATGCCGGTAACCCACTACGTGCCATCAACAACGTATTGACTGGAAACGCACCTGCCGATCGATCAAGCGAACGCAATGCACCTCATTCCAACCCTCCGGTGCGTGGTCGCGGTGCTACTCGCGCCAACGGCCCAATGGACGGATCAGACATGACGAGCCCAATGCCACCGCCCTCGCTTGATTCAACGCCCAACCAGCACCCGAGGAGCAGTCGAAACGACGATGTACCGAGCAGGATGGAGGGCGCTCCACAAGAAGAAGGCCGTTCAGAATCTCGCAGCCATCGGCACCGGTCAGGCCGCGAGCGCTCACCCGATCGATCAGGCCGCCATCCCGAAGAGCGAAGCAGCCGCACTGCCCCTTCTGAACGCGCAGAAGGCGAACGTGGCTCCGACCGCGGCCGCGAGAAACACGGCAGCAACCGAGAAAGCAGCCGTCGCGAACGCGGCGAACGAGACGGCGAACCGAGATCAGGACGCGAGCCTCGCGAAAGCAGCAGACGCGAGCGTGGCTCCCGTGACGACGGACGCTCTTCAGGCGCTAGGGAAGAAGGACGCTCGGATCGGAGGAGCCGTGGTGGCGGCGGAGGAAGCAGCCAAGGGGATGAAGCACGCAAGAGGGGTCGCGATCCTCAGGATCAAGCCCATGGAGATACCAAGAGGAGACGTTAGACGCACCCTACTATTTCAGCATCAGCACTTACGAGTTTGGCGTGGATGAGGAGGGGACTCGACATTTGAAACCAACGAACTTCATCAACAACAACAACATCTTCGAGAACAAACTCAACTTTACACTTTTCTTCTTGCTTTTTTCTTTTCATTGTAATTCTTCGATATTTGGGACCAAAGAGGGAGAGAAATTGTGCATTGCGCGGCGTTTTTTGCTTGTTTGTTATATTGCCCGCCCCGCCCATACAGAGCGTACTTTAAGGCATTTTACGATACCCCGAGGACGAAACAAACCCTTTCTTGGTTCTCGAGCGCATTACAGAAAAAACGGATGAGCGGGAGATTTGCATCATTGGGAGTTTTTGATTGTGCGATTTGTTAGTGGATGGCTGGATGGGTTTCCGGTTATCTTTTTCTTTCTGCTGTTTGTAACATCATCATGCCGCAAGATAGAGAGGAGGAGGGAGAAGGCAGAGAGCGAGGAGTTGCGGGTATTAGTATAGATATTGAGTGGTTGCTAGTCAATGGACGTTGAAGACATTCTGAACATCTTTCTTGAGGAATGTGATATCAGTGACGATCAAACACCCCATTGACATTCTCCATCGACACGCTCCTTCCTCCGCGGCACTACAGATCCGCCATCTTACATACATGCATACATACAAGCGAGGCTCGTTTACCGATTTACCCGCCTCCGCGCCTTAATGTAAAATACCTCAGTAACCCTGTTCCTGCATGTACTGTGGAGACCGTCCGCGGCTCTGGATCGCACGGCAGAATACCCGTCCGTCTAGATTGTGGGGCGATGGCGGCTCATCTTTCTTGGAGGATCGGATGTAGATCCGATGTGGAAGGTGAGATGTGAGGGGTTTATGTAAGGGAAGGTAGGGGTGGTGCGTTGAAGCAGCGTTCGGCGGGTATAGGCCGTGTGGGATGCATTGGAGGTGCGTTTGGGGTCTTGTAAGTTTGGTTGGCTTTTCGTTTCTGGAGTAGAAGAGGATTAGAGCTTGTATGGATGATTTGGATGTGCATGATGCAGATGGGTTTGCTGAGATGGGCTGGTGTGCGTTGTGGAACGGGGTCGGTATGTAGGTCTGGATGGGTATATAAACGACCTCGCCTGAAAAGAAGAGATGAATTGGTCAAGGTCAAATTGTAGCCAAGATGGTGTCTTCATTCCTTCAACTGCTCGTTAGCATTTTCGCGGCAGCAGGTGTCTCTGCTATACACATCACCGCACCGCTCAATCAAACATACGACTACATCATCGTGGGAGGAGGCACGTCCGGCCTCACAGTCGCAAACAGACTAACAGAAAACGGAAAGCGTAAGTCGTTACCCCCTATCTCAGCCCCATACCCTCTCATCCTAACATCCCACACAGACACCGTCCTCGTAATCGAATACGGCAACCTCGTCAACGACCCCAGCATCCTCGTCCCAGCCAACACCCTAAGCTTCGCCCCAACCCCCGAACGCTACTTCAACTTCACCCCCGTCCCCAATCCCGGCCTCAACAACGACACCACGAGCCCTCTCGCAGCCGCAATAGTAGGTGGCAGCAGTGCCGTAAACGGCATGTTCTTTGACCGCGGCAGCGAAGCCGACTACGATGCGTGGGAAGCCCTCGGAAACAAAGGCTGGGGCTTCAAAGACCTGCTTCCGTATTTCAAGAGATCTGTTACCTTTACACCGCCGACTGAAGACGTAGCGGAGAAGTATAACTATACGTGGGATGTGGATGCGGCGTATGGCGGACACGGCGAAATACAGGTTTCATTCCCGCCGTACCAGTTCCCCGGTCAAAACCGCTTGTGGAATGCGTGGAAGGAGATTGGTTTGGAGAAGCCGAAGGAAGCGGCGGCGGGAGATGCGATTGGTAGTATTATGGCGCCGAGTGCGTTGGATCCTGTGTTGAGGACGAGGAGTTATGCTAGGACGGCGCATTATGAACCGTATGCGAAGAGGGGGAATTATCATCTTTTGACGGGGTATCAGGCTACTGAGATTTTTTTTCAAGGAGGGTGGGGAGTTGGAAGCTGAGGGTGTGAGTATGGTAAAGGTGGGAGGCGCGGGCAAGAGTGTTGTGAAGGCGAGGAAGGAGGTCATAGTTGCGGCAGGTGCGATCTGGACGCCGTGGTTGTTGCAGCGCAGCGGTGTTGGTCCAAAAAGTGTTCTTGAGAAGGCTGGTATCGCTGTCAAGAAGCATTTTCCTGGTGTAGGTGCGAACTTCCAAGACCATCCCTTTGGAGGCAGTGTTTGGAACTGGACGACCAACCCATATTTCCCCACCGCTGGAGCCCTAGCCACGAACCAGACCTTCTACGCCGAAGCGGAGAAAGAGTATACTCAGTCTCGCGAAGGCCCTCTCACGACATCGCGAGGCAACCAAGCTGCTTTCCTACCTCTCAAGACTGTCGACCCAGAAGGTTGGCAGGCCCTCGTCGATGCTGTCGCGGCTCAAGATCCAACTCCCTACCTCCCAGCTCAATATGACGAGACGCTCATTGCAGGCGCCAAAGCCATACACAACATCACAGCCGAATACCTCGCACGCGATGACGCTGCAGCCTTTGAATTCACCTTTGCAGAAGGGCCCATAGGAAACGCTGCGATAATGCGCCCTTTGAGTCGCGGCACCGTGAACATCAACCCAGCTGATCCTGCATCAGGCCCACTGGTCGACTGGCGCACCTTCTCCAACCCCCTGGACATCAAATTCGCCGTGCAAATGGCGCGCTTCTCACGCCGCTTCAACACGCTATCTTCTTTCGCTGCTCTCGGCGCCGTTGAACTTTCGCCTGGATCTAATGTTGCGAGCGATGATGCGATCGAAGGGTATCTGCGCAGCACGATGGATCCGACGTTCGTTCATATGGCGGGTACGGCGTCGATGCTTCCGGAAGAGCTTGGTGGTGTTGTAGGAACGGATTTGAAGGTTTATGGCGTTGGGAAGCTGAGTGTCGTGGATGCGAGTATTGTTCCGTATTTGCCGGCCACGCATCTTTGTACGACGGTTTATGCTATTGCGGAGAAGGCGGCGGATGCTATTAAGGCGAGGACGGGGTGGGATGACTAGGGGCGATGGCGCAGTGTATGAGTCGATTGGATATGACGACCATTCATTCCTATCGATGATAGTTGTTGTGCCAATTGTGAATTGTACGCCTGACGTGAAAGTAGCGGTGTCAGCCATCGTTCTGATATGCCCGTCGTGTTCAGAGGATATGGATTATTTCGCAGTCTTCATTTATATCCTTGCCTGCCATGAAACTTTTGCATTCACTGCGTTGGAGGATCATCAAACCAATTCTTCGATACTCCCGCCTACCAGCATTGAGTGGGGTCAAGACGAGATATATCATCTCACGGTACTCGTCCTCGTCTTTCTGCACGAGACAGGGCACGCACCAAGCTTCATATCCATCGGACGAGAGTTGATGGGTGCGAACAGTTTCACTAGCAGGACCTTTCGGAGCTGACTGAATCTTTGTGGGCAGTCGGCTACCCGAATAGCGTTTGAAGATATCCTCGTATACTTTCACCGCATCTAGGTAGACACTACCGACGAAGGACCTCGTGGGTGTGTCGAACGCATCAACACACAAAGTGCGTGTGTCCTCGTCAACTACAGGGCGGTCGTTTTGTTTCAAACTCGCTTGACGCGGTGCCAGAAATATCCGCCGCATTTTGGTACAGATAGACAGTTTAGCGGATTCGATGTAGCCGAAAGTTTTCGGCGCTCCTGGTAGATATGAAATGTCCACATCGACGACTTGTATTTCTTCTTCTGGAAGGCGATCTAGGCGAGGCTTGAAGAAATCCACACACATACCATGTGCAGCGGCCCAGGACCAAGTCGGCGCAAGGTAACCAGGAAAGTTCTCGGTGATGGACCTTGGACCATCCCTGCGAAACATATCATTCCGCGAAGCAACCCACCAGCATAATCCAACTTGCAAATCTTCTTTCCACAAACCCATGACATAGGTTAGATGATAATGTTTCCCCATAAGACTTGCCAAACCTGCAACTGCAAGCAGCTTATCGGAATCAACACTTAAAGCCCTCCGAGTGTAGTGGGCAACCATATCGTTCCATACATCGAAGTGATTATCTCGTCTGTTTTCGTACGATGAAGTCGGGAGCTTGTTGAAGATGTCTGGACGTCTTACTATCAGCCGCATCGCGTTGTTGGTTTGATAACACATGTTTCTAACGGCTTCTTCCTGATCACTAAACGTTGACATACACGGAGCGTTTTCGCGCGCGAATGTCGTCACGCAAGACCATCTGACTGCGTTAGTATCAAAAGTCAGTAAGCGTCCTGACAACACCTCCTCTTGAAGAACCCATCCTCTTGTTTGCAGAGCACTGCCACGATTCAGGCCAAAAACCTGGATCGATGTGCATTTTTGCATCAAGTCGCTGTTCTGTTTTAGAGTTATACGAACGTTACAGGATTTGCTGCCCCGGGCGTCGCGTTTAGAGAAAAGACCTGAATCTGTGTCTGGACCATTCGCTGCGAATATCGTCAACGTCGAATGTCGGTATATGCCCCCCATCTTAGCCATTTCATTCCCCACGTCTTCAAGATCATCTTGTATGATGCAAAGAGCATCTATCCATAAGTAACGATATCCAAGAGACCTGGTAACCTGAATAGCCTCTCTAAAGGTTTTGGGCATTGTATCATCGAGTGGTAACTTTTGTTTGAAACGTTCATATGAGCCAGCGCCTAGGGTAGATAGCATTCTCTTTCCTTGCCCCCAGCAGTAACTCAGAGTTAGGTACTCTGATCTCATTCCCTTGGTCTCCGTGATACGAGCTTGGCCATCAGTTTCGATTTCGATCACCCGGGTGGGTAGTAACGGTAGCATTTGCAACGAAACTTCTGTGTTACAACAGTGGTGCCCCTTTTGACAGTGTTGGATCCATGTCTTTATCAAATCCATGTTGTAGTCGGATCCTGTATGATTGTCGAGTGCTGAACCGATGGGATTATGTTGCTCTTCAGGGCGTGAAGAGAGAACGCAGGAGAGATCGAGCATGGTGCTTACTTTGTCTGCACCCCGTGTCAGCTAGGCTTATCATACATGTTCATCCGTTATACCAGAGACAGGCTTGTGTATCCCGAGTGAAGTTAATCGTTCTCCATAGCGCAGCTTCATTTCGTGGTGGAAATGATCTTGCAGTTCAAAATCCTTGTCCCACAGGGACTTCATACAGAGTAGAATAGGTGCAACTTCGGGGTCGTTGTCGCGACGCGCATGAGCAGCCCCGGCGTCGTAAAATAGTTGAAACCAGAACATGGCGCAAACTCGACATCCTTGACCGGCCGAGAGTTCTAACGCTTCTCTCGAAGGCTGATGCACGCTTACAAGTTCCGTGACTGGATCGCGGACGAAGTCTGGGTCAGTTAACCAATCGGCATCCTGCACGCTGACTTCGCCAACGGGTACAAAAACAAGATTTTCGCAAAAGTGACATAGCATGGCGTAAAATAATGCTAAAAAGGAGAGCTTGAAAAGCGCAAAGATGATGACGGAAAGGTTACCGACAGTGAGATGGAGGTATGGTAGAGGATAATAATAAATGTTGAGTAGGGAAGGAACCGAGGGGGCTGTGTAGACGTGATTAGGCAGCTACGAACGTCATGCGTAGTAATAACTAGCCTAGTTGATATCGTAGAAAAGCGTACGTTTGAGCCTAGAAGCCTTAGTTCTGTATTGTTAAAATGTAGGAGAGCAGTCCTGATGTAAGAAGCTCTTGAGGGCATTTTTGTCAACTTAGCCTCGGAATACCTTCGCACCTTCCAAAAATCTCAAGCAGCATCGCCAAGACTACGACAAGACAGCAAGAACACATCACCGATAATAGAATGTCCACCAGCGCTTAACGGACATTTCGCAACACCCGCAGACGAAGCTGTCATCACTCCAAGAGACCCCTCACTTCAACTTGACGACATGCATGATCATGCATCAATTGTTCTATTTCCCTGCTTTCAGAAGCCGTAGAATCTAAAGGGTATCATATCCATCAATCATTGCCACGGCCGTATCACACATCGCCCACTACTCCTGCCCCCAAGTATCATCATCCCCAATCTCGCCCACAATCTCCACGCCCTGCTCCTCCTGAAAAGCAACCTGCTTATTCTTCCCCCTCTTCTTCTTGCCCTTCCCATTCTCCTTATTCGCGCCGTCACCAATCGGATTCCCATCCTGATCAACCCCCGCAAGTTCCCTCTGGCGTTTCCTCTCCTGGGCCTCCGCTTTCGCTTTGGCGATTTTCTCCGCATACTCTGCTTCTACCGCCGCCATTTCGCGCTTGATCCTGTCCGTGTCGGCGAAAGAGGCCTCTGTCTTTTCCGATTTCTGCAGGAACGTATTCCAGCCGTCGCCGTTGATCTCGCAGCGGCCTTGGAGAGCGGCGCGGATGTCGTCGGGGTTGTCGCGTTCTTCGCGGGTGAATTTGGTTTTGATGGAGCGGCGGGTGAAGCCGGGGAACATTTGGGATATCATCTGGAAATCGGTGCCGAAGGACCTGAGGCCCTCGTAGAACAGGTTCGTGAGGTCCGTGGTCCAACGTCGTCCTTGGCCGGGCAGGAGGAACTCGTTGGGGAAGCGCTTGTTGTTCTTCATGAAGCTGCGGGTTGTGAGGCGTGCGGTGATGTCTTGGTCTTCAACGACGGTCATGTCGCTAATGAGACGGTCTGCGTCGCCCTCTCGGTCGATAAATACAGTGGTGGGATCTATTTCCATCTCGCCTGCTGCATTCAAACGATACCTGGGTCCCGGTTCAACCTGTGAAACCGCCAGCTCTGCTCCTGCTTCTGCCAAAAGTCTGTCCTGTTTTTCTTGATCTGCTTTCGAAGGGATGTCCTTGTTGTCTTCTTCTCTTCGACGTTGCTTAACGGCATCCCAATCAATGGTACGCATTTGCTTCTCCCGTGAAGACAGCTTTCCGACGCGAAGATCTCGGGCTGCTAGAGTATCCATATAGGTTTCATTGGGGTCAATCGTCTGGTCTTCGGCATCGGATGGTGTGGGCTCTCGTGGCGGTCTCCCCTTTCGTTTCTTCTCCCTGACTGTGCCTTCTTCGCCTTCGACACCATCGACCTCTTCGCCTTCTTCGCCCTCTAGAGTGGCCCTTCTCCTCCTCTTTGCTTTGGGTTTGCGACGCACGGCTGCTGCTACAATCTCATCTGCTATGCGGCCGACTTGATCTTCTGCTCCTTCGACGACCTCGCTGCTCAGAGCCCCCTTGGTCTTTCTTGGCTTCCTGGCTTTCTTCGCTGGCGCTGGAGCCTCCTCGCCATCTTGGGTAGCGGGTTCGGTGGCCTTCTTTCTTGCGCGGGGCTTGGCGGCAGCTCGTTTCCGGGTGGGCTGAGCCTCTTCTTCGTCTTCCCCTTCTTGTTCAACGTGTTCTGCATCTGGATCTGCTGCAGCGGCCCTCTTCTTGCGTGGCTGGCGAGGCTTTCGAGTCGGCGCCGCAGCCGCAGCCTCTTCTTCGCCCTCTGGAGGGTGGTTCACCGCTGCCCATGGAAGCTTCCTCCTCTTTCGCGGTTGTGGAAGGGCCTGGGCATCTGAAGCAGGGGCGGGGACATTCGGGTCGGCAGTCTGTCCGCCGGCGTTGTCCGCTGGTGCCGGCGCATCGACAGCGGCCGTAGCTTCGACCTCTTGCTGTGGTGGTGCAGCTACTGCGTTCTCTCGTTGTACCGACTGTGACGGGTCTGTGATATCTCCTCCACTTGCAGCGACATCTTGACTCGCTGGGGTGCCTAATTGTACGGGTGGTTCTATACGACGCCGCTTGGGTGACCTGCCGCCATCGCCCGCATCTTCCAAGTATTGGGTAGTGAGACCCCGGTCTGTCGAAGGCTGTACAGCGACATGGGGCTCCTTCTCGGCTTGTGTCTGGGTGTCTGTATTGGTAGGCGCTGGAGTAGGCAGTGGCTGGGTAGGGTTCGGGGTCGGTTGCGGCGGCGCTGTAGAAGACTCGGCTGTACTGGAGACAGTTTGGGGAGTAGTCGCTGTGGCAGGTTCTTGGGTCGCGGCTGGTGTAGGTAGCTCG